TGAGGTAAAGCGCAATAATGAGGAAATCCTGGATGAGGACAATGCCCTGGAGGACCTCAAGGACCATCCTAGGGTTGGCAACCTGGTGGGGGGGCTCAAGGTCCCTCTCGGGTTCCGCCCAGAAGAGGCCAACCCCCAAGACATGAACATGGAGGAGGACATCATAGGCAACCAGGGCAATTACTATGATGGTAACATTGATAACAACAATATTAGAAATCTTCAGAGACCTCCAGAATTTCATTAACAAATTATTTTTTTCTCTCTATTTTTTTTTGTCTATGGAATCAACTGCCATTGGAACCTCTTACAGAGGAGACTTTGCAGTTATTCTTTTGCTATTTATTTTACTAGATGTAGGTGTGTTAGTAGTTAGTATGGGGTTGAAATATTTAGAAGGGATTAGATGTGTATATATAAATATATATAGATATGCAAAGTTTAGGTTTTGGACAATAATTTTTCATTAATCCAACAGTTTATAAGAGCATGATCAAACAATATCAGTAATATGCAATTGCTGAATTTAGCTTACGCTCTGATACTTTTAGCAAAGTAACATGGAAGAATTGGGACCAGTTTTTGGTAACACAAGATTATTAATGTATTTTTGTGTTCAGTAGCAGTTTTGAGTTCAGAAGGGGGTTAGAGTAGCATAGTGTAGAAAAGCTTATATTTTGTCTTGGTTCAGAAACAAAAGTAATTTATTGAATAATTTGTGCTTTGGTATCTCAAGAACAAAATGATATAGAAACTCCCTTCACATGAAACAAAGGCTGGCCTTTCATGTGTTTTGGAAAAGTGCCATATTCGATATGCAAAAACATCTGTTTGTGAAAAGGAGTACTTTGTAAGTTTTTGATTTACTATGAATGCAACCCTGATTTTGATGATTATTAACTATTTTTATTACATTTATGATTTTGCTGTGTACCTGTAGAAAGACAGAGGTATGGCTGCCAAATCTTGTATTGTCACAGCTAATTTTATATTGTCTTACCTCATCTAAACAAATTAAAACACACCATATAAGAGTTATGAAACTTGACCCTTACCTTTCCATATACCACACAACTTATATTGAATTTACTTGACATTGTCTAACTAAAATTTTATGAATGTCATTCAAGTAGTTAGTGGGATTACAAATTGAGCTTATATGTTTTTAAGTGATGATTGAAGGTAAGTCACATTCTTAGTACATTATATATGCATATATGTGCCCATATAAATTTGCAACAGGAGTAAAAGTAAGACAGAACTTTTATGATTTACATGTATGAATTTAAAGTTGTTACAGGGGCTTTATACATCATTGTACTTGAACTGATTTTCCATGAAAGAAATATTGGGGAAAAAAGGTTTGAAAAATCTAAGTTGTTCAATATTGAAAATTTGATACAAAGTCATCCTTCGATTACCAAAGCATTGCATTGCTACAAAAGATTAGTATATAGACATTGTATATTTAACTCTACAGTGTTTGCAGTCTTGTTACATCTACTTTTTTGAGGTAGAATTTCATAATCCTTTTTGTACTTAAATCATGCAAACCTTAAGTAGAAATTAGTATAGATATAAAGTCTGGATTTTTAATTTGGACCTTGGAACACGGCATTGAGTGTCTTCCAAGAGGGCACATTGTTTAAACTTATTGCATATATACTTTGATTTTATGTGCATGAAATGACCTATAGATTTGTCATCTTTTTAAAGAAGAGGATGCATTCATAAATGATTCTTTGCCTTGTAAAGCCTGTGAAATTTTGTAATTACATGCTGATGTTTGAAATATTGCCTGAAGCTGAATATCAAAGATCAAAATTTCGGTTGCTAGTTCTTGAGATTTAAAAAAAAGCACTAATTTTGGTGCTTGATCTTTTTGTTATATTCCAAACATTTTAAAAGGCAGAGGATTGTCCAGAATCATATGGGCTGCTGAAGCATTTGCTATTTGGTTTAGAAGATTATGCAGGCTCATGTATTATAATCTTGAACAGCAGCTATACCATAGAATAGTGTCATGTTAGTCACATGCATGTTCAGTTGACAGTATCTGTTGTATGGACAATGACATTTGTAGACAACTAAAACATTATTCTTTTTGTAGATTTTTCTGATATAAGTCTTATGTATTAACCAGATCATTCCATTTTTACTTACTGATGAAAAGGCTCAAGTTAAAAGAAAAGTGATACATAGCTGACTATGTGGATGCTGTTTTTTTCACTAGATATGATTTTTGTTCACATATAGATAATTTTCATTAAAAAAAACATAGTGTGCATCAGTTTCTTGTCATTCATACTGTGAATTATAAATATGTTAAGGAATTAAAACATAAGAGCACATCCCAGTTAAGACTTTCAAACTAAAGTTGGGTATTTAGTAGACTGACGATATTGTAAAACATGAAGAAAAAATAAGAATAAAGTGTACATATATCAAGCAACAGATAGCAAAACTTAACTTTATATTATCAAGCTGATGTGCTTATATTGATAGGCTTTGTTGCAGGCATAAAGAGTACTGTATTTCTGTCATGTTGACTTTGTATTGAGTGAGGCTGTGATCTGCAAGATGAAAGGTTTTGTCACTTGTCTCCTTTATACAGAGATTGGAGAGATAAAAGAGACAGGAAGTAAAAAGGAACAAACTGATGCTTTTTTTTACTAGTGTTTATTTATGTATTGTTGTTTTGTTATTGATATATTCCAGCATAGTTTTTCATTTGTAGTTGCTGTTACATTGACTGATAACAGCCAGTAGGCCTATAGTTTAGAATAGAAGGCAGAAAGATAAAAAGAAAGCTTCGTTTTGGATAATTTTAAAAAGGACAATAATATCAATTTTTGTTTATACTTTTTCCACATTGGAGATGAAGAAATATGTGATTTTTTAAGATGAATGAAATTTAAAAGATTAGGTATATTATATCTTACTAATGGATTGGTATTGCACCTTTGAATAACACTTTTATTGGCTTTTTCCCTGGTAGGAACAATAATGATCAAATAATGATTATAGTCTTTGCATTGCTAAAGTTTTGGTGAATTATTTTTCACTGTCTTTATTGCAAGCTTCTGACATACAGGTATTTAAGTTGGAATTAGTATATATAGTGTACTTTTTGTTAGCAACAAACTCTTTGTATGTATTGCTATATGCCAACATTTTTATCTTTATTTATTTTATGTATATGTATGCAAGTGTATAGTAGGAATGAGCTAAACCTGTTGAAATATACATCTGGTATATTTGTGGTATTTATATGGTGTATATATATGATATATATATGGCATATATATATATATATATATATATATATGGTATATATATATCATGTTATATATGATATATATAAATGGTATATATATGGTATATATGTGCAGGATGTGGTACAATGAATCAAACAAGTAGCACCCCCCCCCACACACACACACACACAAAATCACACACAAACACACATGAAATCACACACACAAGCATCCACATGTGAAGGCACACACACTTACACACTCTCACACTTTCACACGCACTTTCACGCACACGCACATGCACCACACACCACACGCACACGTACGCGCACACACACGTACACACACAACACACACGCACACACAACACGCACACACACACACGCACACACACACACACACACACACACACACACACACACACACACACACCACACACACACACACACACACACACACACACACACACACACACACACACACACACACACACACACACACACACACACACACACACACACACACACACACACACATATGAATGGGTAGACAGATGCACAAACACATACACATATCAACACACATACAGACATTCACATTGTTCCAGTCTAGGGTTTTATAGACCTTTCTTATCCTTTTCTTTTATCTTCCTTCTTTTGCTATTTTTTTTCCTTTTTCATTTCTTTTCTATCATAGCAAACATGTATGTGCATATATATTTTTTGCTCAGTTATACCCCCTTATTTTTTAAAATTTTAAACCCTTTGCTTAATAATTGATATATATTGAAAAAAAAACAAATATTTATATATCATTGTGGAACCTAGATTGTCTAGTTCTAGCAGAAGATCACAAAATTGAAATGCTAAGATCAGGAAAATGAAATGATAATGAACATACAGGAAGGCCTATCTCACTCTTAGGAAAGGAAAGGGGAAAGTTTGTGCAGTATGTCTATGTATCATGTGCACAGATGCTGTAGGTCTTGTGTTAAATCTGTTAAGGAGTGTTGAAATTGGGGGAAGAGGTAGTGTTCACCAAATATAGAGAAAGAGTTAGAACAAGAGACTGATTTTAAAGAGATCAGAGAAACTGGGAAAGTGTGTGTAGGAAGTTGGAAAGAGATAGACATGCTGAAATGAGTAGAAAAGCAAGAGGTGAGGATACATTTATAGATATACATCCAGAGTCCAGTCACTTTATAAATATGTTCCATTTTTTTTAAATCTTGGTAATGATTGAAAATATGAATATAGCAAAGTCTTAGTTTTATCATCTACAATTTTTTTTTTTTTTTTGACATCTTGTAAAATTTGAATTGCATCAAGAAACTGATAAATGCTAAGGGATTGCACTCTTTGTAAGGTTATAGTTAGTTAAAGTTTGTAAAACAAAGTGTTTAGCCTGTGTGAGTTTGTGATGGACACTGATAACTCTTTGTATTTCCATGCACTAAGGAAAGACTGGATGTCCTAAGGTTTGTTCAGCACCTTATTATATTCTGTATTTGTCTCATATCAGGAATTGTATTCTTAAGAAAGCTTAATGTACATAAAAGTAATACATAATTCATAAATACATAATTCTTAGGATTGGTTCTGATTTTGTTTCTTAAATTTATCTTCTTTTTTATTAGCTCCGGATTTTTAATTGAATTAAGGTTGTGCTATCATTTACCACTGGATCTGGTTTGGCTTCATCTCGCTTGGCTTTTGGAACTGAGGTACATTATATTTGCTGCTATTGTTTAGACATAGAATGTGTAAGATGAATACACCTTTAGTAACTATGCAGTTAGATATTTTAAATGTAATGAATTGCACAAGATTAATTGTTTTGGTAATATGGTGGAACATGCAGTATGTATTTTGTGTGAACCTAGAAAATTATAAGGACTTTACACAAGTATGTAAATGATGAGGAGCAAAAGATTATTATATTAGCTAGCATGTGTGTGTGTGAAGAAATGTACAGTTTGTTACAACGGTGATTTATTAAAGTGGTGCTCTGAGATTTTCTTTTTTCTTTTAACCTTGAACATGCAGGAACATCAGTTGCTACTAAGTAAAATCTGTCTTTCTGCCTGTGGAACAGTTCTCTATTAGGTTTTGAATTTACCCAATATACTGGTAAGTTACTTAGTCAAATTTGAAACATTTTGTTTGGTCACAAACCATAAAGCAATTGTTTTGTGAAATACTTGCTTTCAGAAGTATACCTTTTCATTATCGTTTACATATTAACCAAGATACTTGATATATAATATATTAAAGTCAAGTGTAAAAGTTCAGCTAAATGCTAAAGGGTTACAAAGCCAAATGAATGTACTAGACAGTCAAATATAAAAAAAAATCTCAAATAAATTACCATTCTGATTTATTCACTGACTTTCTAATGTCTTGATACAGCTATGTAAATTATTTCCTTACAGCCATGACGAAAGATAAATGATACAAGAAGTTTTATGTATGAATTTATTTATGAAATTACAAAATTGTAAAATATCATTTACTAATTTCAGTAAACAGTATTACAAAGTGAATTGTTTATAACACATATTTAAGACTTTTAAACTAAAGTTAATAAACACTTTTTGTTTACAAGTCTTTTCATGGAATGTTTCATGAGATAGTTCTTAAATTTGCATTAGTAAACCAGTAACAGTCATTAGTCTACCTACTCCAATGGTCTGAAACTACATAGAATCTAATTTCTGAGATCAGTACATGATAAAAAATATATATGTATGATATACAAAGTAACTGTATAACTGAAAATAATGCTAGCTGCTCTGTAAAGTATAAAAGTGATTCTCTTGAACATGAATAAGTACATATACATACTGATAACAACAGTAACCAAATAAACCTCTTGAGATAATTCAACAACTCTTTGCTTTTCTTAATCACAACTTTCCCAGATCATTTACTAATCATCAACCCACAGATTCCAGATACCATCTAATTGCATCTGGCAAACTGAGCCCAGATGCCAGGTGACAAGTACCTATGCCATGCCTTATGTGTGCTGAACAACTGTTTGCTTTGACCCTGCCTGTCTATAAACATTGAGAAGATACAGCTCCTTAAAAATATGCTTAATCATTTGACCATGTTAATCAACTATAGTTGCAATTCTACACAATTTTTCAAGATTTTTTTTTTTTTTTTTTTTTGTATTTCTAGGAAATGGGTTTATATGCCCTCCAGCCTATGGTCAAAGGTTAAAACAAATTTTCAATCTCATTTACTTAAAAATCCAATAAGCCACAACAAAAACTGTAGTGAGCAGGGTTAATATATATCTTCCACTTTTAATTTTTCACTGAGTGGGCATAATGGCAAGTGCATGGCTTTGTATAGTGTGGGAAAATCCTGTTGTAAGTAAAGTTAATATGCATAAATGTGGGAATAAGCACACAGGATGTAAAGAAAAAAAAACATTAGTTTCTACTTTATCAATGATGTGAGGTCTTTCTAACTCATGTGACATAAATTTTAATTAGATTCTCATGTGACTGATCATGACTCAAATGATGCACCCCAGTGACACTCTGAAAGCTAATTCAATTACATTTTGGGGAATGGCTTCATGGTAGCAGATGTAAATTTCTCGGTGATATGGTGGACCCAGTAGTCTTCTGGAAAAGGAAGGTACTAATGTTAGTATCTAGTGCCCTAGAAATACTGGAGTGGATATCATGGATTTCAGTATAAACTTTCAAAACAGTAGTGCCACATCCAAATATTTTGACTGAATTTTCCATAGATTATCTTTATTGTGAAAATCCCTTTCAATATTGGCTCTGTAATTAGGTAGGGTTCTGTGACCATTTAACAATAGGAAACCATAGCTACAGGGTGAATGAGGGGTCTGCTTCCCCCCACTTTTCAAAAAGGTGGTCCATGAGATTTTTCCAAAATTGCAAAAGAAAGTTGTGGGAGGGTGGGGAAGGACTTGCCAAAGTTGCCAAAGTTGCTAAAGTTGCCAAAGTGTGTAGTTTTCAAATTCTACTTTCTTACAAGTTTGATTTTGACTGGGTATTCTGCATGTGCCTGGTTTCAATAAGCACATGCCAATTTTGACCAAGTTTCTGATAAAATAAAACACTTGTAGAAGTAAAGAGTTCCCCTCAAAGTTTTTTAGAAGGGCATTCCTGCAAGGAAAAAGGGCATGGACCCCTTATAACACTGCACCTTCAGCACAACTTTAAGAGTACATTAGACCCTCCCACCTTTTTGAGGCTGGCTCTGCCACTGATCACTATCAAAGGATTTTTATGTTATTTTTCCAATATTCTCTGTCTAAGTTTCTAAAGCCAAGGGATAACTTTGGAATAATAAGGATGGGCAGAAAGATTAGAACTGAGATTACATTCTATTAGGTAAAGACTTACCCAACAACCCAGTAAGAGAGTGGTGGAGGTCTTCTTTTGCTTCCATTTGCACCATCAGTTGCAGGAGGGGTGTATGTAAATAAAACACCATGCTCTTTTATGCCATTTAGGGCTGTACTGCTTCCATAAATGCCATGTTGTTCCTGTGTGGAAAATATGTTAAATACCTGTTTTGCCAGTATTGAAAAAATACATCCACATTTATTAGAGAATGCCATGTCCCTATCTCACAGCCAACCACATCAAAAACACCTAGAGGTATAGAGCACATACCTTTCCCCTTACAGCTGCATGGAGTATATGGTGTATATGAGCACAAACAGACCGAAAGTTATTGAGGACCTGAGCCTGGAGTGAAGGAGGGTGTGGTTGAGAGCCCAAGGAGGGAGAGCCACCGGGAGATGAAGAGGCTGGAGAGGGAATGGACTGGACCATCACACCTTCCCCAACCTCCAACTGCACCATGTGGAAGAGAACTCTCTCATTTCCACTGGTGATCCTGATAAAAAAAGAGAAATAATTTGAAATACGGCTATGTAAGTGAATAATCTAATGTATGTATAATCAATGTCAGAGAGAAGGAGAAGGAAAGGGGGGGAAAGGAAAAGGGGAGAAAGGAACTAAAATTAGTAAGAGTAGCCTATTCAAATATAAGAATAAAAATGATGATGAAAAAAAAAATCAAATACACAATAACAAGTATGTATGAAGCCCTTACCGAATTGGGGAAGTGGGATGTTTATTGGTTGGTGCCTTTATGTCCAGATCATACTGGTGAAGACCACGACTCTCGGCACT